CATATTGCCCGCTCACACCCACGCAAGGGATTTTACAATTGAAGATTTTAAATGTTTTACTTGAGTGTGCTTCTTAAGAAAACAGTTACTTCTCTTATCTTATCTATCATATTCTTACATATGCTTACAGTAAATTTCACACAGATTAAGAAAAATTTTAAAATATATTGATTTCTCGTTAAAATATAATAAATTTTTAATTTTATCTATTTAATATATACATCTTTTAAAAAAATAATTATCTACACTATAATAAATGAAATGTAAAATAGTACATTTATGCTAAAAATTTAATAAAACAACTTATAAATAGAAAAAATTCTTTTTTTGACTTATAAATAAGACCAGAAAAGTATTTAGAGAAAACAGATGAAAGTATTCTAAAAATTTGAAGGCTGGGAATCATAAATAAAATACTATTTTCATTCCTTAATATAAGAATTGGATAGCTAGTTTGAAAAAAAATTAAAAAACTTAATTAAATTAGTTATTTATAAAAAATATACATTAACTTTCTTAAATTACCCTCTATAATCTTATGTATTGGAACTACACTTTGGTGGGAGTCTTACATTCAATATAGACATTTTGAAAAACATATGAAACAAAGTGAACTAAGATATTATATTTAGAACTAAATCCAATTCTCTAAAAAGTAATAATTAGTAAAGCAATCTATATATGTATAGTAACAACAACCTTATTCTATTAGGTGGGGTTTGCTACATAGATCACATGATGCTATTGTATTCATTTAACAACCAAATTTTTAGATATATTATTAACTAAAAATTTTATTTAATAATTTTATTGAGCACTATCTCTGATCTTCCTCTAGCCATTGTCAAAGGCTTCACATAAACACTTTAATTTTCTTTGTACATGTAAAACCAACTCATGTTGTAAAACTACAAGAAATAAGGAGAATGAAGAGTAGAAAAGAAAGCAAGAGATAGAGAAGACAATGGCCTTTTCTCATTCACTTTGGTTCAAGGTACAAATGCCTCATGTATGCCCTCTATTTATAGGCCTCCAAGCATTGAAGTCCTATACTAAGGTTACAAAGGAATAAAGAACATCATAATAGCATTAACAATAAGAAACTCCTCCCAAAAACATTCATTAGGGAGGTTATGTAGTTTATGACACTTGAAGGTGAGGAATCCTATGAGAATTCTAAGGGTTAGGGGTTATGGACATCCACTCATGCAATATTCATAACACTCCCCCTTGGATGTCCATAATGAGTATTGTGCCTCATTAAAACCTTACTAGGAAAAACCCATTGGGACAAAAACCCAGTGAAGGAAAAAGAGTACACAATATTTACTCCCCCTAATGATAACATCATTTTAAGTCTTTAAGTCTGCGCATTCCAATACCATACACTAACTTCTCAAATGTTCTAGTCGGCAGTGTCTTGGTAAACAAATCAGCAAGGTTGTCACATGAGCGAATTTGTTGAACATCTATATCACCACTTTTCAAAAGATCATGAGTGAAAAAGAACTTTGGAGAAATATGTTTTGTTCTGTCTCCTTTGATATATCCTCCATTTAATTGAGCTATGCATGCTGTATTGTCTTCATATAATACTGTTGGAATCTTCTGTTCAAGGGAAAAACCACACATTTTTTGAATATGTTGAGTCACTGACCTCAGCCAAACGCATTCTCGACTTGCCTCATGAATTGCAATTATTTCCGCATGATTTGATGAGGTAGCTGATAAAGTTTGTTTTGTTGAACGCCATGAGATCGCTGTACCTCCACAAATAAATAAATATCCTGTTTGAGACTTGCCTTTATGTGGATCTGATAGAAATCCTGCATCTGCATAGCCAATTAATTGTGATTCTGATTCATTAGAGTAAAATAATCCCATATCAATTGTCCCTCGAAGATATCGAAATATATGCTTAATTCCATTCCAATGCCTTCTTGTTGGGAAAGAACTAAATCTTGCCAATAAACTAACAGCAAATGCAATATCAGGTCGTGTTGAATTAGCAAGATACATTAATGCACCTATGGCACTGAGATATGGTACTTCAGGACCAAGAAGTTCTTCCTCATCTTCTTGAGGACGAAAAGGATCTTTATCCTTATCCAGTGATCTTACAACCATAGGAGTAGATAACGGATGTGCCTTATCCATGTAAAATCGCTTTAATACTTTTTCAATATAAGTTGATTGATGGAGGAAAATTCCATTTGCCAAGTGCTCAATTTGCAAGCCAAGGCAAAACTTTGTTCTTCCAAGATCTTTCATTTCAAATTCTTTCTTTAAACAATCAACTGCTTTTTGAAGCTCTTCAGGAGTTCCAATTATATTTAAATCATCCACATAGACAGCAATTATAACAAACTCTGATCCATTTCTTTTTATAAAAACACATGGGCAAATTGGATCATTTTTATAACCTTCTCTCAACAAATATTCACTAAGTCGGTTATACCACATTCTTCCAGATTGTTTTAATCCATATAAGGATTTATGCAAACGAATTGCATAATTTTCTCGAGAATTCTTACATGCCTCTGGCAATTTAAATCCTTCAGGGATTTTCATATAAATCTCAGTATCTAAAGAACCATATAAATATGCCGTAACAACATCCATTAAACGCATTTCAAGTTTTCTATGGACTGCCAAACTAATTATATATCTTAAAGTGATTGCATCCACCACAGGAGAATATGTCTCTTCATAATCAATACCAGGTCTTTGTGAAAATCCTTGTGCTACAAGCCGTGCTTTATATCTAACAATCTCATTTTTCTCATTTCGTTTGCGCACGAAGACCCATCTGTATCCAACTGGTTTCACACCATTTGGTATATGGACTACAGGTCCAAAAACTTCACGCTTTGAAAGTGAATTTAACTCTGCTTGAATTGCATCTTTCCATTTTGGCCAATCATCTCTATGTCTACATTCTTCAACTGATGTAGGTTCAAGATCCTCATGTTGATTAATTATTTCAACAGCAACATTATATGAAAAAATATTGTCAACAACTGTGTTCTCTCGGTTCCATCTTTTTCCTGTAGTAACATAACTTATTGAGATCTCTTCATTATTTTCAGGTACCTGAGCCTCCTCTGAGGTCTTTTGATTAGTTATGTTTCGGTCCTCTCCTATAGGACTTGCCTCCTCAATTTGACTATCATGACCATCATGATTATTTGCTCCTTTTTTCTTTCTAGGAGTTTTATCTTTGGAACCGATTGGTCTACCCCGCTTCAGGCGTGGTTTGGTTTCACTTGCGCTTTCTAGTTGTCCTGCTGGGACATCAATTCTAATTGGAGCATTTTCAGCTGGAATGTGAGATTTAGTAATTCTCTTAGGATCAGTGAATGCATTTGGCAGTTGATTTGCAATATTTTGCAAATGAATTATTCTTTGAACTTCAAGTTCACATTGTTGTGTACGAGGATCTAGATGAGATAATGATAATGCTTTCCATATGATTTCTTTATCCAGCTGCTTATTATCTCCCCCTAATATTGGAAAAATTGTCTCATCAAAATGACAATCGTCAAAACGTGCTGTAAACAAATCTCCTGTTAATGGTTCTAAATACTTAATTATAGAAGGAGATTCATAGCCAACATATATCCCTAACCTTCTTTGAGGTCCCATCTTTGTGCGTTGTGGTGGAGCAATAGGGACAAATACCGCACATCCAAAAATTCTAAGATGGGAAATATTTGGCTCTCGACCAAAAGTCAATTGTAACGGGGAGAATTCATGATAACTTGTTGGCCTGATGCGTATAATTGCTGCTGCATGCAGAATTGCATGTCCCCAAGCTGAAATAGGAAGTTTTGTTCTCAAAAGCATTGGTCTAGCAATCAATTGGAGGCGTTTAATAAATGACTCTGCTAGGCCATTTTGAGTGTGGACATAAGCAACAGATTTTTCTACTGTTATTCCAGTTGCCATGCAATAATCATTAAAAACTTGAGATGAAAACTCACTAGCGTTATCAAGACGAATTGTCTTAATTGCATGGTCTGGAAATTGTGCTCTTAATCGAATTATTTGAGCAAGTAATCTAGCAAATGCTAAATTACGTGTTGATAACAAACACACATGGGACCATCTTGTAGATGCATCTATTAAAACCATAAAATATTTGAATGGTCCACATGGTGGATGGATAGGTCCACATATATCTCCTTGGATACGCTCTAGAAATGCAGGAGATTCAACTCCTATTTTTGTCAATGAAGGCCTTATAATTAATTTGCCTTGAGAACAAGCAGCACATGAAAATTCTTTAAATTGAAGAATCTTCTGGCTCTTCAATGGGTGTCCATGTGAATTTTCAATAATTCTTCGCATCATAGTTGATCCGGGATGGCCTAACCGATCATGCCAAACAATAAACGTATCTTTATCAGTAAACTTCTGGTTTACCGTAGCATTTGTTTCAATTGTACTAATATTTGTATAGTACAAACCAGAAGATAATGTCGGTAATTCTTCCATGACATATTTTTCTCCATTTCTTACCATTGTAACATGCAAATATTCAATGTTCTTCTCATTTATAGTCTCAACATGATATCCATTTTGGCGAATATCTTTAAAACTTAATAAATTTCTTTGAGACTTCGAGGAATATAAAGCATCATTAATAACAAATTTTGTTCCTCTGGGTAATATTATAATTGCTCTTCCGGAGCCTTCAATTAGTTTTGTATTACCCGCTATAGTATTGACGCTTGCACTATTTATCGTAAGATGAGAAAAATATTTTCTATCTTTGAGTATGGTGTGTGTTGTAGCACTATCTATCAGGCATATATCTTCATTCTTGTGCCCAACAAAAGGAAGAGAAACATCCATATTCTTCACCGAAAAAAAAAACATTCATTAATATAAATTCGAAGTACATCATGATTAATAATACTCTTAAAAAAAGAGAAATAAATAAACATAAACTAAATTAAAAAGCATAAATAAAGCAAACTAAAATTATCCAAATTCTTCTAATCATGATTCTCAAAGAAATCAGCCACATCCAAATGTGCCATAGCATCAAGGCCATTAACATCATCTAGCTCATTGATATTATCATTTTTGTATGCAAAATTTGCCTCCACATCATCACTTTGAAAAGTCAAATTTGCTTCCACATTATTTGAACTTCTTTTTATAGAAGCCTGATAAAGTTTTGCTAGATGCTCAGGCGTACGACAGGTACGTGACCAATGTCCTTTCATGCCACACCGGTAACATTGATTTTCAACAACTCTTGAAGGGCCATTCTTATCTTTTTTCTGCCCATCCCCAAGTTTCTTCTTTTGGTGGGTATTTGGGTTATAATTGTTGCTTCCCCCACCATAATGACGGTAATTTGTGCGTCCCCTACCACGACCACGGTCTCGGCCACGACCACGACCACGACCGCGTCCACGTGTATGATGATTATTGCGTACAGTCACATTCGCTTCAGGGAATGGAGCTGATCCAGTGGGACGGATCTCATGATTTTTCATTAATAGCTCGTTATTTTGTTCAGCCACAAGAAGACATGAGATCAATTCAGAATATTTCTTAAAACCCTTTTCACGATATTGCTGCTGCAGGAGCACATTTGAAGCATGAAAAGTTGAAAATGTTTTTTCTAATAAGTCCTCATCTGTTATTTTCTCACCACATAATTTCAATTGAGAACTTATTTTGAAAACTGCTGAATTATATTCAGTCACAGATTTAAAATCTTGGAGCCTCAAATGCATCCATTCATAACGAGCTTTAGGCAAAATTACCGTTTTTTGATGATCATACCTTTCTTTTAAATTATTCCACAATTCTAACGGGTCTTTTACCGTCAGGTATTCAGCTTTCAACCCTTCATGCAAATGGTGGCGTAGGAAAATCATAGCCTTAGCCTTGTCTTGGCTAGTTGCTTCATTTCCAGGTAAAATAGTACTTCCTAGACCTTTGGCATCTAGGTGGATTTCAGCATCTAAGACCCAAGACAAATAGTTTTTTCCAGTGATATCAAGAGCCGTAAACTCGAGTTTGGTAAGATTGGCCATGGATCAAACTAAAATGATAATAACAAAAATTAGAATTATAATAAAATTGATGCACACTGAAACACAATAAATAAAATATTAGGATTCAAAAGTCACCCATAAATAAATTATTCTTTAAAATTATAAACAAAATAAATGAATAAATAAACAATGACAAATAAACATATATGAGGGAAAAAAAATAAACAACACAAATAATTAGTTACAATAATAATATAGAGACAATGTATATATAAATATATATAGGGGGAAGGGGGTAATGTAAATGCGGTAATATAAATAAATATATAAATATTACAATAGACTAACTAATATATAATAAAAATTAAACTAAAAATAAAAATAAAAATAATGCTACAGTGAGATAAACGAAATAAATATAAATTGATAAATAATGAATAAACAACATATAAATTATTAGGCCTTATTATAAATAAATTATATAAACAACATATATAAACAACATAAATAAATACGAACAAATAGAATGATAGGAAAAAATAATATATATATAAACAGTGTAAATATATATATATATATATGAGAGTTAGTGCAATATAGATAAAACAACAGTAAATATATATATATATATGTATATAAGGGTTAGTACAATATAGATAAAACAACATGGGACACTGTAAATTATATGTATATGAGAGTTAGTACAACACAGATAAAATAATGTAAAATACCATAGATACCAAATGGAGATGATACATAAATTACATCAATTATTTGAAACAAACATAATATTTTACAATGTGACAACAAAAATAAAATGACTTAAAATAAAACAGAATGTTAACATAAAATAAATATATATAACATAATGAAAAAAAAAATTAAAATGTAAAGAAAAGAACAATAGAGTAACATTATATAATATAAAACATGATAATTAAGAAAGGAGATAATATAAAGTTAATATGTAGTCAATACATAGATATATATTGTGATGATTGAGTAAGGAGATAATTAGACGATGAGAAGAGTGCATCATCTTACGAAGGGTTTATACCTCAAATTTTCAGAGCAAGGTCGTGCTGATAACGTGTTGTAAAACTACAAGAAATAAGGAGAATGAAGAGTAGAAAAGAAAGCAAGAGATAGAGAAGACAATGGCCTTTTCTCATTCACTTTGGTTCAAGGTACAAATGCCTCATGTATGCCCTCTATTTATAGGCCTCCAAGCATTGAAGTCCTATACTAAGGTTACAAAGGAATAAAGAACATCATAATAGCATTAACAATAAGAAACTCCTCCCAAAAACATTCATTAGGGAGGTTATGTAGTTTATGACACTTGAAGGTGAGGAATCCTATGAGAATTCTAAGGGTTAGGGGTTATGGACATCCACTCATGCAATATTCATAACAATCAAATTTTTACTGTTTTACTTTTTTTCTTCAATAGGCATCACACTACTTTTTTTCCATGAGTTTATTGCAAATCTCTGTTTTATCCCCCCTTATGAACACAAATCTGTCTTAAATTTTTATTTCTACCATCTCTTTATGTTCCTTTTACATATCATTGTAATTTTGTCATATATAGAAAGTGGTGTCGACATCCTGATGGTATTAGCCATTAGATGCAGAGACGGATATGAACACGGAGGGAATCAAAGGCCATCCATGGACGGAGGATGGGGGAATGTGTTCATCATGTCCTCATTTTGCTTCCTCTCTCTTCTGACCTCCATTTTTGTTTCTATTTGGTCGCGTCCTCACGTATCCCAACCAAATTACCCTTTCACCCCTCCTCCTAATTCTTTCCTAATGTTTCCTCTCCCTTCTACAGCATTGTTGGATTGACTTTCACATCTCTATATTGTTATTATTTTCACATAAAAATGATTTAAATTTTGGATCTCTAATTACATTTTACCCTTTCTAAAAGGGTATTTGGATAGAAACAAAACTATAATTTTAGTGATTTTACAGTATACGAAGTAAATGTAAAAGAGTTTATTTCGATTTGTGAAAAAAAATACTTTTAAAAAGCATTTTTAGGGGCATTCAAACACCCTCTAAGTCCCTAATTTTTTTTCCCATGACTTCAAGTCCCTAATCATATGAGCTTGCTTCACAGTGCTTGATTATAATTCTTACTTTAAAAATCATAAATCTAACCTTTTAAAAAAATATTTTTTATTAACCAAATATATTTGTACTCCTTCGGTCCTTAATATATGACCTAATTGTTGAGTTAGTTTGGTCCTAAATATAAGACCCATTTCTCATATTTATCAATTTCTCTAAATTACCCCTATAGATATTCTTTCAACCATAATCAAATACAAGAAGGAGGGGAGGTATTAAGAAAGAGGATTATGGTTGTTTAAGAAAAACGTGTCATATTTCTTATAATTAACTAACTTACCTAACTTTCTTAATCTAATTAAATTAGTTAAATAGATCTTATATTAAGGATTGGATGAGTATTATTTATATTGCACAGCTTTATCTGGTTAAATTATATGTAATTATATCATATTTTAGCATAAAGTAATAAGTATTAATGGGAGAAAAGTTACAACGGCGCCGTACACGCCAGTAATGGAAAAAGCAAGAGCACGTGGCCCTTAGAAGTTAGCAAAGATAAAACAATAAGTCAATACTGAAACGTCATCAGGATCAAATCAGAAGAAGTAAGGGTATTTCAGTAAAAGTAATGTGATCCTATCAGGATTCAGGATGAAGGTGAACGACAAATAAAGAAGTGTGTTGACACGGTGAGAAGAGCATCGAAGCAAGCAAACAAAGCTAGGGAGAGAAGCAAAGATCGTTGGCGAAAAAAATAAAACAGAGAGAGAGAGAGAGAGAGAGAGAAGATCGATCGATGAGGATGGTGAGCAATTTATTATATATGATGAGCAGTGTAATTCTGAGAAAGTGTGTGCAAGTTTACAATGAATGTTCGTATCTCTTCACCGATCTGGCTTTTTGTTTGGTATCTTCATTGAGATTTTCTGGTCTGATTTCCGGCAAAGTTCGTCGGTGGTTTCTGTCCAAAGGTACCTCCCTTGTCACCATTAACGATCATTAGGCATGATCGCTAGCTAATCACACACTTGAGCTGCACAATTAATTATTATTCTTCCATCCTTCTATTATCCCAACAATAACCTTCTCAGACTTATCAATATATAACACTACTGTTTCATGCTTGATCTGTTTTGATTTGAGGTCTGTATATTCTCATGGAGTTGGGATATCTATGATCTATATCAGCATCTTATCGGTTGAACCTTTTGTTCTTTTGCCATGGCATTACAATCCAAGGGAAACAGATTCTCTGAAGTTTTTTTTTTTCTTTTGGAAAGTAGTGTGAAGTGCTGAATTGGAACCAATTGCTAAATTTGCATTAGTTATTAAGTTTAGAAAAAATTATAAATTTAAGAGATAAAGTGAGTGATTGAAATATCACATCTAGAACTATTATCTCTTATTTTTAATATAAGAGTTAGTTTGATATTCAATTTATTTTAAGTATAAGACCCCAATACACTTTGTCTCTTATATTTATTTATTTTTTTAAAATAGTTCTTGTAATAGTTGCGTTAAAGGTTTCATCAAATAATAGTTTTAATTATTATATATATTAATAAGGGTATTTTAAAAAAAATAATATCTTTATTATAAATAACTAACTTAACTAATTTTTTAATCTTTTCAAATTAGTTAACCAGGACTTATATTAATACTGGAGATAATATTACAAACCATATGATGCTATTGACGTTCTAGTTACGGGTGAATTTTTATGCCACTATTTCACAATGACATTAGCAAACTCCTCTTAAATTAATAATTGCCAGAATTCTAATCAGGTTTGATTCCAAGCTCTTGCAAATAATAACTTCATTTTTATTTATATCAATTAATAATATAAAACTATTAGCATTATTAATCAACCAACATGAAATATTAATACTACATGTGAAATTTATAACAAGTCACTCTTACGGGTTATCAATAATATGACTTGTTTGTGGTACGTGTACTGTAAGTTTTCGCAAGGTTTACATTAATATAAAATAGTAAAACTAATAAATCCAAAAATGACCAACTACTTCTTCTTTTTTTTTGGTTATGTACAAATATATGTATTGAAGGTAATCTTATTTAGGAGATGTTTGAATAGAAATCAAACCATAATTTTAAAAATACTTTTACGATATAAGAAATAAATATATAGAAGAGTTCGTCTCGTTTTACAAAAAAAATGTTCTTGGAAAGTACTTTCACACAGCCCCAAACACCTTCTAAAATAGGTTCAAACGCCAAATGTAAAACATTGCTTCATCACAAAACAATGAAATGGCCCATTCGCCAAACTCAACGGGTTTTATTAGATATTTACTCGTAATATTTTTGCCCTTTTATGGGTAAGAGCCTAAGCCCAAAATATAAAACTCTTGGACTTAGCCCATAAACTAGTCACACAAAAACAAAAAACGAGGTGAGGTGGCATTATAGTAGTATGAGGAAAAGATAAAGAGAAGGCTATAACCCCAAAAAAAAAAAAAAAAACCACGAGAAGGGATCCGCGGAACGAAGATGACCCTCGTCCCTAGGATGTGAAGCTTGTCTTCATGGGCTACTGGCGGCAAGGAAATTGATTGTGACAAGGAAGAATAAAAATTCATTGTATAGCATAACATTTTTATATCAACAGAATTGGATATAGTAAAAGAGATTAGTTTCTCACAACATAATGAATTAAGGTTCGAATTCTCGTTGGAGAGGCATCCTCATTTGTATACTGATAGGTCAAGGGGTGTTTGGGAAACCCAAAACCATGGTTTCAGAAACACTTTTCCGCAAAACGAGGTAATCTCTCCACATATTTACTTCGTAATCCGTAAAAGCACTTTTGAAACCATGGTTTGGTTTCTATCCAAACACCCCCAAATGGGATTACTTTAAATAGGATGATATCTATGTTTTAAGGGAAAAAAAATTCATTGTATGGCACAATATTTTTTTAACGGAAAATTTTATGTACGTTTACTGTAATGCGTCAACTGATTTTGACCCGCCGCGGGGGGGGGACAAAGTGTCAACCATAGGTAGAACAACCCATCAAATCAACGGTTAAAGAAAACAAGTCACACTTCCATTTCTAATATAAAACTTAATTAATTAAAATAAATTAAGAATGTTATTTAAATTAGTTAATATTATATGTATTTTAAAACATTCTAAGCATATTTCTTAATTTTCTCACCTCTTCTCCTATTTGATTATTATTGGAGTTTGAAAAAAAATTGATAAACATATAAAATAAGTTTTATATATAGGATACACATCAACTCTTTAATTAGATTTTATATTAAAGAGCAGAGAAGTATTATATTTGCCAATTTGGCATGGCAACTTTACCACCTTTGTTTTCCTTTCATTGTCTTCAACGTTTGGTATGGACGTCTCATTTGTGTTTAATTATTTTTTTGACCTTGCATTTGTGTTTAATTAGTATCTCACAAATGCTTTTAAGTATGTTTAATACGGCGGGGAATCAACAACATGGGATGGACACCAAGTTAGGGGGAATTAAATGAGGAAAAGGAGAAAGAAAAGGGACGCTAATTGATAAAATCTGAAGAGAGACAACGAAGTGTTGACTCATCATTTCTGCAAGACAACATAAGATTATTATTGTACTCATCCGATCCTTAATATAAGATCTAATTATTAAGTTAGTTTTGATTCTAAATATAAGACTTATTTATCATATTTATTAATTTTTTCTAAATTACTCTTATGGATATTCTGTCAACCATAATCAAGTAGAAGAGAAAGAGATAGTATTAAGAAAGATGATTATGGTGTTTTAGAAAAAAAAAATCACATTTCTTATAATTAACCAACTTTCTTAACTTCCTTAATGTAATCAAATTAGTTAAATAGATCTTATATTAAGGATCGGAGGAGTATATATATAGGAACTCTGCTTAATATATTTCTAGATTGTACTCACAGAGGAGGAAAACAGTCACGGTTCTAGTAACATCATATAAGATCACATAAATATCTCTCTTTCTCTACAATTTCACATTATATATCTTTTATGATTATAGTCTTGACAATGCCAAGTCCAACGCGATATCTCTCTTTCTCTGCAATTTCACATTTTATTATATCATAGTCTTGATAATGCCAAGTCCATCGCGTCCACCAGAAAGTCTACATCCATAATATTCATAAATCATCAGTGATAATTATTAATTTATGAACATTCAAAATAATAAAAATGCGTCTATCGTATGAAATACTAAGATCTGCTGCTATCATGTAGTATCTTTAATTTCTTATATGACGCCATCTCATATACTAATGTGTTGAATATAGATATCTTTGATCAGCTAAAATTTAAGCTAGTGTCTAACAGAGAATAAGTTTGTCGACAAATCTCACATGTGGATTAGAATTTTTCTTATTGTAAGTGCCATCCCTCAATATTATTTTTTGACATTCCATCAAAATTAATCCTTAGTAATGTCTATAAATATGAGATTAACAAATCAAAAACAAGGAAAAAACCAAATGGGTCACAAATAAGAAATTTAATTACTAATAAGTCATGTCAACCTCTAACATTTACACATCACCCTCTGATATTTTGTTAGAGAAAAGACTAGCTGGTAATCAATTTCCTTATTTGAGATCTATTTATAATTGTTTTTCATTAGACAGCATACATTAATAATATTATTAGAGATCAACTACTTCATATATTGCTGTCCGCTTCTTTTAATTAAAAAAATTCTATAGAATATTGTTTCTTAAGTTTTGAGAATTGAGGCCAAGGCTAACCTGCATCTTCTCTAGTGAAACACAGAGGAGGTGTAATTCTGAACACATTCCCATAATATCCACCTTTTCCAATAAGGACTCCTAATTCTGTTGTGAATGAGGAATAAATGATCAGTTGGAAATTAAGAGGAAACGGAAACACAAATAGCTAAAACTACAGAAAAAAAGGCCATGAAATCTACCTTTCATCTGATCTAATACTTGTAATGTTTCAGTTTTTGCTGGTGTTTTAAGTTCCCTGTCATTGACAAGTTCAACTCCAAGGATCATCCCTCTCCCTCTTACGTCCCCAATTGCTAAACAAGAAACCAACTAGCTCAATAAGCAAGAAAAAAGAAAACTTTCTTATATTTTGCAAAATTAAAGAAAGATCCATGTGAAGCAAAGAATTTGCACCTTATAAACTCTGTCCTTTAAAAAAGCTAGCTATAATCCAAGGGCATGAATAAGAAGGAATAAATGCCTTACATTCATATTTGTCCTTGAGGGCAGAGAGCCTCTCTTTCAAGTAGGATCCCACAACAAACGCATTTTCTTGAAGCTTCTCCTTCTCTATCACTCTTAAAACAGCCAATCCTGCAGCAGTGCAAACAGGGTTCCCTCCAAACGTGTTGAAGTAATTTCGGCGAACCAAGACCTGAGCAATCTCTGGAGTAGTTACCACTGCACCTAAGGGAATGCCATTCCCAATGCCCTAATAACAGAAGAAAATCATGAGACAATAACATACCTATACAAAGCAAGTCCGCTTTGATGTACACTAGAGTTAGGTAACAAATGTAGAGAACAGAGAAATCGATGATCCTTTTGATTTGGCGAGTTGAGCCAATTCTTCTAGACTTAGTGAAAACTGTAATAGCTGTCAATTCGTAATCAATTGTAATCCAAGTTCTTGTGGGAAAGCTGAGGGACTGGAGAAAGAACAGTTACCTTTGCCATTGTCACAATATCGGGAACAACGCCATGGGCCTCAAATCCCCAAAAATGGCTTCCAGTGCGCCCAAACCCAGCCTGAACTTCATCAGCAATACAGAGTCCTCCAGCATTTTTAATACTGCTGCAAACTGCAGGTAGGTAACCTGGGGCCAATTCTATGATGCCCCCCACTCCCTGCCACATGTAAACAACAGTGCCATTAAGGGTATGTTTTCACTGAGATTTTACTTTAAATATGGGCCCATTTCATTTCAGAGTATAAATACTTGAATGGCTTCAGAAATGAAGGCAGCAACATTTCCAGAAGTTCCGAAGTTAATAATGTCTTGGACGTCTCTGGCATACTTTTCTCCGTCAGAACCAAAAATTCCTCTGTAAGGGTCTGGATTCACGGCATGATGAACTCCAGTCTGTTGGCCACATCAACAGAACAACATATTAATTAGGGAATTGGTAATAGGACAATTTAAAACGTCACAGTGCTCTCAGCCAAAAGTTATGTTCAATCAGTTCACGCAAGGGAGAAAGTGATAAATAAAACAAAGGAAAAGGCTATAAACTAAAAGCCGTATTTTTGTTTTCCCCCAATAATCCGAGGCCAAAGAATACACCAAGCACAACTACGTAATTTTCCCAAGGGGGTCTACATTTAGTGTAAGGCCCTCGCTTTCATTATCATGAGGTGTATAATTTGTTTTGTTAGTCTTCCCACAAAAGAAGAAAAGCAGAAACCGTACGTATGCGGACTATAAAATGAACGGCTCGTTATCATAGCAAAGCCAATTACTTTCAAAAGAAGTTGAGGAAAGCCTCCGAGTCCAACGATGGCAAACTGCGTCGATGTTACCATCATACCCACGTTTTTAAAAAACTAAAAGGTGGGTGAAAGTATGCGTCATCCACCTTAGATGTGACAATCCACTAACATTTTTTTAAAAACATATTCCTTCATCTTACATTTAAAAAAAAACTTCGAACACATAATTATTTTAAAAAAAATCATATAATATACACTTTAATTAAGTAATTTAATAATTTTTTAATCTCTTTAAATTAGTAAGCTAAATCTTATATCTAAGGTCATACTGTATATGACATGCATACAAGTCATATGTAGTACAAATGTGACTGGTTTATTACAAAGTACAAATGTTGTATGACATGTTTAGTATAGACGTATTTTCAGAGGGGCACATAAGTTATAACTGTACAAATTTTATTTCATTATAAAGAAATTATATATTTATCATAATCCGATTATGAAATTCAATAATAAAGAGATATAATTAACAAATTTGTTTGATGCATTATCACACAATCTCTGAGAAAAGCCATGTTTTTGAAAGATAAAAAAATAGAAATAGAATCAGAAAAAAAGGACAGAAAAAGAAAAGAGAAACGATAAGAGGGGAAGGAATTGAAAGATATACATACTTGAACAATATTAAATTTCCAGATGCTTTGGGCTGTGGCCCCCATCGTCCCAGCTGCATTTCCGTGGTAGGAGTTCCTGAGAGATATAACGTCATGGCATCCTGTGTACAATCTGGCCATCAATATAGCCAATTCGTTTGCTTCCGTTCCAGAATTTGTGAAGAACACCACCTTTATTCCCAATTTATAAGCACAATAATTAGCCTCAACTCGCAAACACAGTTTCCATGCTTATCTGTGTCCAACAAGTATCACCGGTGTGACAAGCGAACTACGTACGATCAGCGACAACTAAAGGGGTGTTTAGATAAAAACCAAACCATGGTTTCAGAAGTGCTTTTACGGATTACGAAGTAAATATGTGGAGGAGGTTATCTTGTTTTGTGGAAAAGTACTTCTGAAACCGCGGTTTTAAGAATGCCAAACACTCCCTAAAACATATTCTTTAGGGAATTCACATTGATATATAGAAAATTAAAATTCCTTTTTTAACCAATTTAGTGACTATGGCTACTGATTAAGTTAATTTTTTAAACAGTTCCTAATTTCACTAAAATCATTAATATACCTTTTATTTTTAAATCTCTCTTAGTGTCAGTCACTTAAAAGATAATTGAAAATTTTATTATTTATTATTATGAGTATAATTAATACTGAGAATTCTGACTAGTAGTATAACTTCTCCACCATCCTATTATTTATCTTTGCAAAAACGTGAGACATGACAATTTGATACGTATCATTCCTTATGGCACCTCTTTTCCGTTAAATACAGTGAATAAGGAAGATACGTTACTCTTATCGAAACATACGGATTCGCGTGGGGTCACGTGAAATTAGTGAATTGAATTATTAACATGAACACGTAATCTTCTTCATCAGTTTGACGACTGAAACAAGGTCTTTGAAAACTAAAGGGTTAATTAATCCACAAGTCCTTATAGTTTCAACGAATTTTGAATTAGGTTCTTATGGTTTTTTTTTTATCAGGTCCTTATACTTTACCTTTTTTTAATTAGGTTATTGTATTTATTTTTCTTTTAATTAAGTCCTTATAATTTCACTAAATTTTTAATCAGATCCATGTAGTTTTAATTTTTATTTATTAATTAAACATAAGCTTAATTAAATAGATTAATACTAAAATATAAAATATTAATAATTAAATTAAATTAATAATTATGTAATAAAAAAGTAATAGAATTAATTAATTCAGGAAAATTTTTTAGAACAATTAATTTTTTTGCTGAAAAAATTAAAATCATGATAATAATTCAATATCTTTAGAATATTATTGTTTATAAACTAATATTAAATAATATATACTATTTTATGTTTATATAATAGTACTATTAGAATTTATAAAATAAAGAATAAAAAATTCAGAGACTTAATTAAAAATAAGGTAAACTTATAAGCACTTGATAAAAAGAAAAATAAATACAAGGACCTAATTAAAAACAGGTGAAAGTATAAGGACCTGATAAAAAAAACTATAAAGACCTGATTCAAAATTAGTTAAAACTATAAGGAGCTGTGGATTAATTATGCCAAAACCAAAAGCAGAGACGTTTCAGAATCATGCAAAACAAGCAAGTAAAGCGTGAGTCATCGTCGCATCAAACACACGAATATGATCATTGATTAGGGATGCATTATTTTTTTTTAAAAAAATAAAACTGACAACTACAGAAATCATCATGAGCAAAAGTCACCTTGAGATCGCCGGGAAGTTTAGAAGCCAGAGCCTCGGCGAAATCGGCGATGGCATGGTTGAGATAGAGAACCGTCGAGTGCTGCAACCGCTTTGTCTGGTTCACTATGGCCTCCACCACATCAGGATGGCAGTGCCCGCAGCACACCGTCGCAATCCCTCCGAACGCATCCAAATACCTCCCCCCCTTCTCGTCGTACAAGTACTGCCTCTTCCCCTCCACTATGTTCACCTATCACCACCACCGTTCCGTCGTCGTCAGAATTAAAATCGGAATCAGAATCAGAATCAGCAAACATGCTAAATATTTCTGTTACTAATTCGTACGGCATTTCGTCAATTTAGGAACGAAAAATGATGGCGTGTGTGCAGAGCGACGGATTTTGTGCTCGTCGTTGTCATCAGTATTGAAATCAGAATCATCGTGTTGATCATTCAAATATTTCTGAGTAAATTCAAAGGAATTATACATATATTGAACTTGGGAAATAAATTTGTCATTCTTACTGGAGTCTTGTACAAGTGGAAGATGGAGGGGCTGAGATACTGCTTGCGCTTGGCGAGGATTTCGTCTGCGGAGGGGCCGGAGTAGGGCGGAGGAGAGTAATCGAAGGGTGGGAGTTCGGGGGTGGCGGTGGCGACGGCGTCGTTTTGCTTCTCGGGCAACTGAGACAAAAGCCGTTGCCTGCGGCTCATAGGATTCATTCGCGGCAAGAATTTCGTGGACACGTATCCCGCCATTTTTCGCGCTGAGGCCATGAGCTCCGACCTCCGAGATTGCAGGACCCGACCCGACAAATCGGATGGTGTGAGTTTTTATGTGACTCTGTGAAGGAGAGGGAGACGAAGAAGGATGGCAGAAGCGAGGAAGGTTTAAATAATAACTTGGAAGGTTATCACTGATTTGATTAGAGGGAGAAATTGGCATGTGAGTTGTGAGAAATAAATAGAAATGATGAGCACCTCATTCCAAAAAAAAGAAAAAAAGAAATGATGAGCAAACTAGAGTTCACCTCCAATTGGATTCTCACTACTTATAATTGGAATTTTCAAAATTGCATATTGCAATTTTATTCCTAATTAATCGTGGTTGAGTTAACAAAACAAACACATAAGAAAACGGAGAAGCATTACGTAGCCTGATAAGCTTGTTAGGAATACTTCAATAATGGAATGGATCGCTGCGTATTTTGGCGCCAAGGGGAAAAATTGGATTGCCAAATATGCCCTTGATACATACTACTCCCTCCGTTTCTTATTATAAGAGACATTTGATGCTTATGGCATGTTCCTATATATAATAGACACTTAAAAGTTTTCTCTACTTTTTTGTGTTGATTTCTTATTTTATTTATATTTATTTTGTTTCCAACCCACACTCTCTCTCCCTTTTTTTTTTTGATAAACCACACTCTCTCTCCCTTCCACTACTCTTTTTTTTAATAATTTAATTGTTCTCTCTCATGCTCTCTTTCCATATTAATGAGGGTATTTTTTTTAAAAAAAATTATACTTTTTAAACATTGATTATTCTTAACTAATTTTAATTTTTTTTATCAACGTAATTCGGTTATTTGTCTCTTATAATAAGGAACGGAGAGAGTAATATTTCTTCCTACCTTGAAATCAAGAATTAATAGAGGAGTTTGTTTTGATCATAAATATAAAATTTTAATTAATTTTATTTTCTAAATTTATGATTTTTTTCCCCTTAAACTCTCGTTATAGATGGTACATATTAAAATAATTAAAATAATTATTTGAGAAAAATTGATACACATTTTGGTATAAATAATAAACTAATTTTTTTAATTTATATGAATTATAGTTACTTAATTAGTTCGTTTACATTTAGAGAATAGGAGAGAGATAACTGTGGGAAGAGTTACATGAAAATAACCATATACCGTAACTCTCACTTCAAACTTCGCGAGATACACAAGTAAAATGTGTCTATATGAAATAGATTTCACACACACGTACTCTTACGCTGGACCTCATTTTAAATGTAAGAGCTATTACATCCCACACATTCTTAATATAAAAATTAGATAATTAATTTGAGAATATTAAAAAATTAGTTAAGTTAGTTATTTATCACAAATATGAATTAATCTCCTCAAACTATTCTCTTCAATCATATGCATTGGATGATCAGAAATAGTACCACTTGGTGGAATCCCTTACAATAAATAGGAATATTTTGAGAAAAAAATAAGAGACAATATGGATTAAGATTTTATATTTATGACTGAGTCAAACTTCTAGCTAGCTCTTATATTAAGAATTGGAAGTAGTAATTTGTCGTGTAATTTATACTATAAATTAATTCTTATATTAAAGATTGAAGGTAGTAGTTTGTAGTGTATTTTCACTGCAAACTAGTTTTTATATTTACGACATGAAATAGTATTATTTTATCTTCAAGTATAAAAGCATCAATGTTATCACACAGACACATAAAATTTATATAAAATCATAGTATCTTGGGTTGTAATTATAAAAGCTTGTTTGTAGCCTACAAACAAGTTCTAATAACTATTATTCATAAGCCATATATAAATGGAGCCACTCATTTCATACTCTTGAAAAAGGCAAATGTCCCGCAATTTAGATTAAGGGTGTGTTTGGATGAAACCAAACCATAGTTTGAAGAATAGCTTTTAGAGAATAGATTATGGGAAGAACAGATTCTGTGAAAAATAGATTATGTGAAGAAGTGATTCTGAGAAGTAAGAGTATTTGGATAGCTGTTATCAGAAGTATTTTTTATATATACAAATTACTAAAAAAAACATAAGTTAATATGATAATTATATAAAAGATAAATTTTATGATATATTTTAATTTGAAGGAATAAAATTGTTAATAATATATTTTTTACCAACATAATTAATAATACATAAGATAATGTAATTAATAAATAATTAATATGCGTATATATGTTTATAAGATATAAGGTTAAATATGTTTATAAAAAAATAATTGAGAAATGTTAACGTCATATTATTGTTGAGATCTACTCTGACAAGCACAATCATCTCTTCAATTTGAGCCAGAAGCAAAATGAATTCACTTCTCTTGAAACCATGGTTTTGGATTCCAAAACCATAGTTTTGGCCCAAACCATGGTTTCAAATTATTGGTTCAAAATTTATGTTGTTTGGGTGACATCTCACCAAAACTATGGTTTTGCCCAATCAGCCCTAAAAAGGAAATAGAAGACGACAATACATTGTGCGCGCGCGTGAGAGAGAGAGAGAGAGAGAGAGCATTTTAATTCGAGGCTCCACCAGATATGCATCTACCTCAAATGTCGAGCTTAGATTCGACCTACCCACAAATCCATAATGTATCGGCCCTTGATTCTTGACCATGTTCATCTTTTCGGTCTCGTCGGACTTCCATTTTCGCAAAATTGATCAGAGGTCTCATTATTTTACTATAACATTTATAAATATTATAGTGCTCCTTTCAAATCCCGATAGATTATTTGAAAGCAATTTTTTAATTATAATTTATAAATATAAAATAAGTATGTAAGGAAAATTCAGTGAGTGACATATTCCTAGGCGTTTTACATCCACTCAAAAAATCACTTTTATATTTTATGAGATAAAAATTACTTTTACAGTTTTTATGGTAAAACTTAATTAACTAATTTGAATAAATTAAAAAATATTAGCTAAATTATTTGATATGATATATTTTTTAAAAAACATCATAAATATCTTTCTTTATTTCCTCCTCATCTCTCTTGTTTAATTATTGTTGAGGAAATACAAACAGGGTTAATTTGAAAAAATTAATAAATATATAAAATAGGTCTTACATGTAAAACTAACATTAACTCCCTAAATAAATCATACATTAAGGGCCTGTTTGGCTCAATGAGAGGAAGGAGAGGGGAGGGATTTTAATGGAGGGAAGAGGAGGGGAGCAGAGTGGAATGATTTTAATATTACCTTGTTTGGATTTATGAAAAAAGAGGGAAGGGGAGGAGAGTGGAAGGATTTTAATGTTACCTTATTTAGTTCATGAGGAGAGGGGAGGGAAAAATATTTTCACACTAACAATTTTGCCCTTATTTTATTTAATATTATTTTTTTCAAATTTTATATAATGCTTAATAAAATAGAACTGTAAATAACATTTAATATCTTGAGCAATACTTATATAAAAATTCTAATGTACTCTAGAGCATAAAGTATTGTTGAAAAGAATGCTGAAGTAATGTTCAGCCGCAACTTGTACTATATCCCATCTTTGAATAAAATATTTGGTCATGCAAAGGAGAAAGCAGTGTCTGGAAACAAGAAGAAAATGATTTAGGATAGTACAGGGATATTAAAAATAAATATAGGCATAATGGTCACAACATGATAAAATATTATCATTTCTCACCAAATCCTTCCAATTTTGGAAGGGAGGTTGAGGAGGGAAGGGGAGGAAAAAATATTTTTGTGTGTTGTCAAACAGGAAGAAATGATTAAAGTCCTTCCCCCCCTCTCTCTTCTCCTCCAAATCCCTCATACCAAACACATCTTAAGGACAGAAGACTAGTAAACACCTCACTTTAATATGGTTTTTGGGGTTTGTTTAGGCGAGTAAATATACCCAACATATTTCGATGTAATACCTAACCCACATGCACCTTTCCCCATCATGAACATATATAAATGCTACATTAAACTCAACTAGATTATTGTTTAGAAATTGTATATATAGATTAAAAAAGAAGTAAATTAAAAGAAGTTATAATTGCCAACAACTAAATAATACAGTAAGATCAAAGAATCCATAGAAAAGGTAGCCCAAAATAAAGTCATAATCTCCAGAATTTTTATAAAAGGCCACACGGTAACACACAGCTTTTCGTTTATAAATAAGTGTTGGTCATATAAAAAGGATTATGATGGCTTAAGTACTAGGTTTCTATAGTTTAAACTACTATTTCGAGTCTTTAATATAAAAGTTAGTTGACTTATTTAAATATGTTAAGAAAAGTAGTTAAAGTAATTATTTATAATAAATATGTATTTTTTTTCTAAAATATTTTTGCTAATCATGTATATTAGTTAAAATTACTATTTAATAAAATATTTAACATGTGCAACTACTATAATGATTATATTAAGAAAAATAAATAAATATGAAAAATAATATATTTAGGGTCAAAATTAAATGTCAAAGTAGTCTATATTTTTTTGAGATACACATATATATCAAAGAATTTTCATTTTGCCATGTTATGTATCAACACAAATCGTGTCAATTTATGCTTGTACGATTTTAAAAAATGAATATATAATGAAACTAAAACTATATAATTTATCCATATCGGGTACGACCTTCTTTTTCCCGAGAAAAAAGAGACAAAATGGCTTTCCACATCATAGCCTCATATTGACGGTAATATGATACGCCCTTATGCGCATATGAGTGCCGTGTAGGATTTCCACAATTTATTTAAATAACCTTAAATTATTTGATATTATTGAAACCCATCTAGAAGATATCATCTTCAATGAAGAATCGGAATCAACAATCATGTTATTCTTGATGATTTATAAAACAAGATAAATTTGAGAAACTCTCAAGGTATAACATCTTTTTAAATATTACATTCAATCTGATCTTAAATATAAGAGTTAGTTTGTAATACAAATTGTATTACAAACTAGCTCAATAGAACTCTTTCATCGTTGTGTCAAAAAAGAAGTACAAAGGAAAAAAAATTCGCTAGATGATTATCACTCAGATCAGTTGTGAATTTTGATTGGAAGTTATGGTGAAACTAAACCAAAATAGAGCGAGTGAATTGTTAGATGCTTCACTGCCTAAAATAATTTGTATTATTCATAATTTATTGTTTTAAATCTTATATGATATAGATATAGATTTTTATTTTAAATTTATACACACAGGTTCTGTTTAGTTCCAACTCATTTATAAGTATACAAAAGTAATCCTTATTGCATTACTATTTCTGACTAGTTTGGTTAGATTTAACGATGATAAAAAATTACACAAGTAAAAAAGAATTGCATATTTTTCTTGGTAATATTTATTCTTAAGGGTCCCCAGAAATATTTATTGCCAGTTTGCACTCCTTGACAAAATATCGAATTTTTCCCAATATGTTAATGTGCACATTGAATTGCTGAAAAACGTAAGAAATTTTTTTTTAACAAGACAAGTGAATGACAATATGTAAACACTCATTTCATTTCACGTTACATACGAATGGAATCGAACACAAGAGCTAACAGCTAGGCAGTAAATTTAAATGAATTATTGAAAATATACACACAACCCATTCATTATATATATAAAAATAATGCTCCAATGAATAACACAACACGTCACAATCTGCTATAAAACCTACGACATGAATAAATCATCGGTTATTGATGATGAACCTCCTTTGCTGTCTTTGTTAATCTCGTCCAGAATTACAATGAGTGCCACTATGAAAGCATAATCCACGTTGGGATACACTGTCACCATGAAATTTGTTTTCCCGAACATAACGCTTTCAACTGTATGCTTCTTATGCATCTGCAATATTTTCCATAATCATTTCTCACCACATGTTAATTGTATACTACTTCCAGTCTTAAATATAAGAGCTAGTAAACTAATTTGAGTAGGTTAAAGAAATAAATTAAGTTAGCTATTTATAATAAATAAGTATTATCTTTTCTAAAATATCTTTGCTAATCAAGTTTATTGGTTAGAACTAATATCATTAGAAAGACTATTTTGACAAAGAAATAGATAAATATGGGAGATAAAGTAGATTATGGTCTTATATTTACAGTCAAAATAAAAATCAAACGATATCTTACGTCAAGGACTAGAGGTAGTATATGTAACCATTAATTAATTCTTTATTATTCTACGGAAAAACAAATAATAGATTGAGCAAATCAAATACCTGGGCAACGATGTTGTTAGATTCACCAGCATAAACAACACAAGATCGTTCGAGCCAGCTTCCTTTGATCTTAAAGTCACAAACTTGTTCCGATGTATTAGAAGCCAAGAACACATCTAATTTGGTCTTAACTAATTGGATCAGAGACGATCGTTTCAGAGTAAAGATGAGATCTTTGGGGTCGGAGCTATCTCCTCTGAAAGCTTGCCATCTATCATGTGCTGTCATGATCTGCAATATGCATATCATTTTTAATTTTATTGCTCTCTTTTTATCTCAAACTATATAATCATTTTGATAAGAATGAACAAAAAATATGGTGATGGTGGAGTTGTGATATTCAAAGTGACAAACCTTCCTGCGGAGAGTGACGACGGGGTTCTGAGCAGCGTCAAGTAAGACACGGTGGTCATGGAGGGTTAGAACAGAAGCTCGAAGCTTGAAAACGACGTTGCCGTTTAAGTCCGTGACGGTGAACTGATCGGCAACAGTGAGCACCTTTCTAACAATCGCTAGGTCCACTGGATATGGACAACAATACTGTGGCCCCACCACAGCCATCGGCGCTGGGTAAGGCGGTGCGGATGTGGTAGGGGCGGCACCGGAGGTGGAGGCATACGGCTGTGTATAAACCATGATTCAGGTCTAAAAAAAAACCGACGAGGGATATATATATATATATATAGGCCTAGCCAGTAAACACAAGTACGTATATATGTGTTGTGAATATGCTCTGAGATGATTATTCTGTTGCCTAAAGCTCATATATATGTGTGTCTGTGAATGTATTTTGATATCGGAAGTTTCAAGTTGTACACCCACAAGAACCAGTGTCGTCTTGTAGGAGGTGGCGAAGAAGTCGAAGTCATCAGAGGAAGGAAACTTTGGAGGACGAAGCCGTACGCGTCGTGGCCTTTATTTATTCATGGAAGCGTACGTCACCCTTTTAATTTTTAAATTTTATTCATTTGTCGATGATTTGACTTTAGAATGAGTCAAATTTTATCAACGATTTCTTATTAAGAAAAAAAAAGTTTAATCTTACATATAAAATTCATTTTATAATATAAGTTACGCTACAAAATAAGTTTTATATTTATAACTAGAGAAATATTACAATAATTCATGATGAATATAATAAGTACGCTTAATAATTTTAGTAGTAGTGAATTTTATTTTAAGAACCGGTGCTAGTACTAATCTAATATATTTCTACTGATATAATAAGAGTCATTCCAGCAAAAATACTGCAACATGTTTTTGTTTGTATAATATTTTTTTTTATTTTAATTTGTTATATTTTTCCGGCTTACGTTACATTAGCCGAATTTTTTTAAAAAAATAATTGTATTATGCATCGTTGGTATGATAATGTTATCTGTTCTAGCGTTTGACTTTTTGTAACGTGTTTGACTTGGTGTCGATTTAAATTTTTTATTCGATCAATATGACGTTAGCATAAATGAGATTAATATCTTAAATTGATTTGTCGGAAATTCAATATTTAACAACTAATTAAAATGTTAAATTATAATCTAAGCAAAATTGCAAAAAAAAGACCATGAAAATTGTGAAATTGCAAATAAGGTATTTTGTTAAAAATGTGTTGTTATTTGCAATCCAATTATTGTTAAAATCTATGAAAGTGTTGTTATAGGTCCAATTTGTAATTTTGCAATTTTCATTCTTTTTTTACGATTTTCCCTATTTGTTAACTAATTATAGTTGGATTAGGTGAACGAGATTTAATAACCAAACAAGAGTGGAGCTGTTGGTCGCACCTTTTTTTATTTTGTATAGTTCTGTTTGTGGGTTATGCAGACTCACAAATTTAAACTTATTTACGTTGGGCTGTGACGAATAAAGAGGCCTAACAAAAAATTTAAAACTTCGCAAGTGTTTTTTTGAGAATAATTTTAAAAAAAACACTTTTAAATTTTAAATCAATTTTGTTTCCTATACTTTAATAATAATTAATAATATTTAAAAATTAAATGAAAACATATTTTTATATTCACTCTTGATTTAGGATTTTGAAATTTTAGAGAATTTTTTAAAAAGATTTTCCCCTTTTTTCTGGCTGCTTTCTTTCTTTCTTTTTTTGGGAATTTCTTTATTGTTTAATAAAAATGGACAAAAATATGTCTTTGGCTCTTTAATTTCACACAAAATTTTATTTTGCTAATTTAATTTTATAATATGATTTTAGTCCTATTTATTGGCAGAAATTGTTGAGATTGAAATTTTAAATATTAAAAAAATTTGTCAATATCAATATATTAAGTGTAATTTTATTAAAAATAATAATGATGAAGAAAAAATGTTTTCATTTGAGACAAATGATATTAAGCTTAAAGGATAAAAGATACTTTATAAAATTAAAAGATCAAACCAAAAGACTGTATAAATTTAAAAAATAAAAACTTTACTTCTATATATCATAAAAATGTCTAAAATTATGAATTGACAAAAGGCCAAAAAAACTTTAAAATCGCGCTAAAACTAATTTTTTCGATTATTCATTTGACATACAAAGTATTGGTCAATTTTTAGTTAATGTTATGCAATATTTAAGCATCAACTAATTAACTCATTAATATACGAGTTAGGGCTTAGAGACGTATGAAAAGCATTCTTGTGATTCTACGCTTTAAAGTTCGGGTCAGATATGATATCATTATTTGTTAATACTTCAAAAATTATGTATGAAACTTGATTTAAATTTCGATTGGATGTGATATTGAAATTTTTTAGGCATAATCTGTTCATAAATAATCATGCCCGCACATAAGGAAAAAAAAAATACATAGGTACGTAGAATATCAATCAAGTCGCTTTGGAAAGAGAGATTTTTCAGAGTTATTACTTGAAATGTTTAAATGTCATTTAAGACCCGAGGAATTAATCCATTATTAACTGTCAATCAATCAACTATTAACTATTAATCAACCATCAATCATCAATAATCAATTATCATTAATGAATCAATAATCATCAATTAACTATATTCTTAAAAATTTGTAATACCCTATTCATTTAACAAGAAGTTGCGTATGACATTATGAGATTAAAAATATTCAATCAATAATATTTGAATAATATTTTGATTGGAATTTAGGTACATTGAATTAAATGATGAGCATTATTATTACATGGGATTTCAATTGGAGGCTTAAATGAAAAAAATAATCATTAATTTTGAATTTGAATAATATCTTAATTGAGATTTTAATATATTGAATCAAATGGGCAGCATCATAATTATATAATATGTCAATTGGGAGCTTACATAGAAAAATAAATAAATAAATTTAATTTTTATATATTCCTCATAAATTTCATATCTCTAATTCAAATCTTATTTAAATGAATAAAAAAATATACTCCTCTAAATGAATCTTGAGCTATCTTAGACAATACAGTTTATTAGAATTTAAAATTTAATCAGATATTTTAATGTCTTTCAGGGAGAAATTTCTTGTTTTAATGAAATCAAAAATGAAACTAATTCGCATAAAATTTTCCAAAATAACAATGCCCTCAGATTAAAATAAAAACCACAGACATCTGCAAGTAACTCTCCTAGCCGAATCATGAGCAACTATTATTAGGAATCAATCCGTCTTCTTCTGTCTTGGTTAATGTCGTCCAAAATTACAATGAGTGCCACTACAAAAGCGAAGTCCGCGTTTGGGTACACCGTCACCATGAAGTTTGTTTTCCCAAACACAACGCCTCCAACTGTGTCACTACAAAAAATTCGACTTTCAGCGGCAACAAATGTCGCCGATGAAAGTCCAAAAGTCGCCATTGAAAAGCTTCAGCGGCAACATTTTGTCGCCACCAAGTCGTTGCCGTAGCGGCCGTGGCTGAAACTTATCAGCGGCGACAAAAAAAATCGCCGTTGAAAGCTGATGAGTTTACCACTCAGAAACGTTGCCACTGAAACATGAGAATCGGCGGCAACTAATGTCGCAGCTACAACGGCAACAATAATAAGTCGCCGCCATAACTCTCACTTTTGGCGGCGACATAGTTGTTGCGGTAGAAAGGCCGACTTTCAGCGGCGACAACTATTGTCGCGCTGAAAGTGATCGCTGAAAGTCCAGATTTTTGTAGTGTGTGCTTCTTATGCATCTGCAATATAATATTCCCATCATTTTTCACTGGTCATTAATATAAGAGATACTTAATTAATTTGAATAGATTAAAAAAATTAGTTAAATTAATTATTTGTATAAAATAAGAATTTATTTTTCTAAAACAATTTTTTAATCATGATTATTTTTTGACGGAAATTAAACCCTTCACATCTATAATTAATCGATGAAGATATTTTAGAGGATGAAATACAAATTTGGAGGACAAAATTGATTGATATCTTACATTTAGTATTAAATTTAATCCTTAACTAGTTCTTATATTAAAGAACAGTATATATAACAGTTTTTTAAATCTTTATGGGAATATAAGAAGAGCTTTCATTACAAGTGCCTGGGCAACAATGGTGTTGGATTCGCCAGCGTAAACAGAAGAAGATCGGTCGAGCCGGCTTCCTCTGATCTTAAAGTCGCAAACTTGTTCTGATTTATTAGAAGCCAAGAACACATCTAACTTGGTCCCTCCAAATTGGACTATTGCTCTGTCTTGCACTTTTCATCCCTCCGTTCGTGTTATAATGTTCTGTATCTGATTCATTCACAATCTTTGATGGTTTCTGCTATAAAATGAGATTAGAAGGTGGAGTCACGGATAGGCTTAAGTATACTTGGACAGAAGCTTTTGTATGTTCAGATATTATCTATCAAACTCATATTTGATCGGATTTACTCTATTCAGAGTATTATATATATATATATATATATAGAGAGAGAGAGAGAGAGAGACTAATAACATACATTTTTTATTAGCCATATTTAATCATTGAAAATCAATTAAATAAATCTTAATCCTTGAATAAAATTATATAAGTACTCTGTTTTTTCCATTCCTTATTATATGCTTGCTCTTACACCTTTGTCATGCTTGTTCCAGGTTCTTGCTAGTCATGTTTGGTTTGTTTTACGGTCAGCTTATATTTATTATGCCCTGTTAGGATTAAGGAGGAACTCGTAACACAGATACAGAGCGCCTCATTCACATTCACTTTTGATGATAAGTTGTAATATATAAGCACACACAAATATTTTTCATATTAAAAATACTAATCAATACAAAAAAAAAAGAATTAATCATAAAAAAAACTGAATTCTCTTTGGATAAACCAACCATTTATTTGATTTTTTGACTGAGTCTTATTTTCGAATAATGTTTATCTTTTAATAATTCCATTTGAACGGGTAAATAATGAAAATAAGGGAAAATTGATTTCAAATGATAATGCTCTTTTTAAAGGATTATCACTAAAAAATCCAAAAACGCTTGAAATTTGAATACTAGAGATTGATGGAATTTTCAAATATCTGTTACGGATTTTAAAATATTCTCACTTAATTTAAGATTTTGCAAATCACGCTGCTATCAAAGGATCTGGTGAGGAAGGGAAAGTGCATGAATTATTCTTTTTTAATTCCTCCTCCTACGGATAGAAATCAAGGATATATACTTTAATTTTAGCTTAAAGGAGAATTGGCAAAACAAACAAAGCAGAAACAATCATTTTGAGATAATAACAATCCAGCAGGTATGTTTATAAACAATCATCTCTTATTCATCCGAAGAGCCTTTGTTATTATCGGTGGTTTATTAGTGGCGATTACTGCAGAACCTTTATTATCAATAGCTTACACTTGAAGCATTATCTTATATATTTTATGTATGTCTATAGCTATGTTTCTAATATATTTCATATTTGATACGAATG